AAATTAGAGTAAAATATTCATCACAAGTGTTTGTCCATTTTCTTGCCTACAAAATGCCTTCAATTGAAAAAAAAGATAGCATCACCCCCTACAGCAAGTCTTCTGCATTGGGATGTGCATTTACGTTTTCATTTTTCTAAGGCGAAATCACCAAAAAGTTTTGTTAGAGATGAGCAGTAATTAAAATTGAAACATTAATATTTCCTGAACCACTCTTACTATCAAAAAATAAATTGCAGATATGATATCAGCATGCAAAACTATCTCACGTAGTGGGGTTTAGTTGATATTGAGCCAAAAATTTAACAAAAGTATTTAGGACCCATGTTCCCCCTTAATACGTTCCCAGAAAGTACGACTATTTGGCAGCAATGTTCCGAATTGTGGCAAACTATGGTCATATGATATATTCTGCAGGCAAAAATTCTCATTCGGGTGTGCAAAAAAACCACTCTCGCGTGTTTGTGAAGCGCCAAGTGGCTCAAAGCCACCGCGCAGCGAGGGCAATTTCTTTGCTCCATTCAATCGTCACCCCTATCCCACACAGAGACCCGTCTGAGCTGTCAGTTTTAAAATGCTTTTTGAAAACTGTCTGTTAATTTCTGTAGCACAGTGGTTTTTGCGATTTAGCGTGACCTGTAAGGCTGCCATATTATCAGTATGCAGCTGCTGCTGACACTCAGCATCCCAGGCCTGTTTTTATGCCCGTACTGCACCATCGGCTTAGTGAATGCGAGCTCTCTCATGTTTCCACTTTTGGCTGCTCTGCGATAGTTGTCCGTGGCCTACCCATGCGGAGGCTCTCCCCAGAGCATGTTCGGCACCACAGCAGCGACGAGATAGACGACGTCACTCTCAACGCAGCCAATGGCGAGCATAGTTTACGACGTTGAGAACGACGTAAATAACCTCACAGCCAATGGAGACCACTCTCTACTCTGATATCAATGCCGAATGGTTTAGGGATATGCAGGCCATGCAGAGCCCTGTGCGAGGCTGCTTGTTGCTCAGTGTGCATAGTTCGGGATTCGAGACAGTTGCCTCTAGCTGAATATCCTTGCAATTATCGGCAGGAGCTGAAGAGGAAACGAATTGACATAGCGAACGAACTTGGACTGCCAGTATCTACTGTGAATACCGTGGTGACGAAGCAGAAAAAGATCGAGACGAACGCTTTGGTATTCAGCGGCGCAACAAGGCAAGCTCGTGAAGCCCACCATGGGGAGCTGGAAGCAAGCACGGGCCTCCGGAGTTAACTTTGATGGCAGCATGCAGCTGTTTCAGGAAATGCTGCTTTCGGCAACAGACTGCATCAGAGGATACAGAGAGCAGCGAAGACTACCCTAAAGCATGCGCATCTGACATGGACGATGACATCGATGAGGAGTTCCTCTCCACCGGCACCAACGTACCCTCCGCCGAGTTCATCTCGATAGACGACAACATCCCGACTTGTGAGCCGCAAAGTGTTGCTGGGATTGTTGTGGAGGTGGTGTGGGGCACCGCAGTGGAGGATGTGGGGGACGAGGCGCCGGAAGACAGTGGCGAGAACGAAAGCGTGCGCTGACCAGCTACAGTGGAACTTCGATTATACGTACCCCGGTTTCGCAACGACCTGCATTTCGCGACGAATCTGTTTGGTCCCGGCAAAATCCCCATAGAAACAATGTATTGGTTATACGACGCAGTTTTACGCCAACCTCGCATCTTAAGACGACTTTGAGATTCTATCAAAAAGAAAAAAACACCTTAGCTCGAATCACATGTCGTCCAAATATTCAAGAGTGCAACGAACTTGCACACCGCAAGGAGGACTACAGCAAATTAGAGTCATCTTCATCGAATGAACAATTTATTCTCTCGGAAGTTCATGCATGTCTACATACGCCTCGATCGCGTGCATACGTATCCAGTGTCGTTACCTAGTCAAGCTCTATCCATATAGAGTAGGTTCGGCTGACCAAAAGCAGATATTTTCACATTTTCAGGTCCGTGGAAACATTTTCTGGTCGACATACAGCTGATTTTCTGCCTCTGTTACACTCGCAGTCACTGGTTTGCACACGCATAAGTGCATGACGCAGCTGTTTTCACTGTGCAAAATTACTTTCACTTGACGTCAACGTTCATAACAACAGCAGGACTTGCACTAGTTGCACTTCACAAGGCAACAAATTACAACGAGCACAGCTCAGTCGTGCACGAATGCATCGTACATAAACTCGTTGTCCGTCGTCATTAAAGAGCTTTAGTTAAGCGCAGTGCAAAGTAGTGTGTGCGCAACGACTAGTGCGCTACGTACGTTACAGCTTAGGCTGCTTCCTACAGTATTAGTTTAGCATATGCAACAACGGACACATGGACTGTGCCTAAACATTAACACTTTCATCTTGGAGTGCTACTTCGCGCCACCTAGTGACTAAGCCATAAACTACAATAGCCAACTATAGCTGACAAGAGTCAGACATGAGACAAGCCAAGATTACACAAGCAGCTCCGTTCGACTGTGGACATTCCGGGCGTTGAAAGGCATCCCCGTCAGCTCCTGTATTTTCACAAAGATAACTGTCCATTGCATGGGATCCGCAATCGGATTTAAACTCACGTAAGCAAGGAGCTCTAAATCGAGGGCAATCGCTAAAATGCACGCGGGGTTTACTCGCAGCCATGACCGCACTGCTGCTTGTGCTGCTGTTGCTGGTCGCGGCTATCTTGGTCGTCGTGCTCTCACCAAGAGAGCCGACTACCGGTACCCAATGGCTGTAGCGTGTGCAACGTAAGAGCCGAGATCTAGTGTAAGCGTCTCTCGCGTGTTGAAACGCAGGCATCTCTCTTACGTACAGCGCAACCGCAGCCGTGCTCCCTCTCGAGCGATGCGTGCGCTAGGCCGTTGCGCGCGCCAAACTAAAACTCTTTATTATTCGATAGCGATGGCGCTGCGTCTGACTCTTCTGATGGGAGGCTCACGGCAACACGGTTTTGGTTTCGTTTTCACATGCAGGAAATTTTCGGACTCTATTTGTCGGTAGAAAGAAGTGCGTTGGATTTGATTGTTTATGTTGATTGTTGGATTTGACGTTGGGCTTATTCAGGCAGTCTGTACCCGTTTTTTGGGCAGGGCTGAGTGTCGCGGTCAATAATCTTCATGTTTCGATTATACGATGCCCGAGTTATGCGGCGGTTTTTCGTGGTCCTCTAAAAGTTGTATATACTAATCGGGGTTCCACTGTAACTTCGCTGAAGCCCTTGCTAGGCTGGAAGCCTTACAAAGCTTCTTTTGCAGGAAAAACAATGAAAATGCGAACTAAGGTTTGCAATATGTGCAGAAGGAGCATTACTTGCCCAAGAGTGAGAGGCAGCAGCAGAAAATTACAGTGTTTTTTGATAAATAATGTTTTTTGCTCTTACACTTCTATATAGACTTGTCAGCCTAATTTCTTACTGGATTCGGATCGTACGTTTTCCCGGATTATAGGTTTATTTTCCGCATTTCTTTAGAAAACATATCAACGAGGTTCTACTACTTGAGTTCGCGACAATATACACAGCAATGGTAGGAACGAGCGTAACCTATCACGACATCATGCTGGAGACCGAGTCTGTATTGGCCACCAATAGCCCTATGACTCGGAGTTCTTCAATCTCACGAGTTTTAAAATTACCCGTATGTACCGAAATACAAGCGTGGCATCACTCAAAATCAAAGCCTCAGCCGATTGTCCCACCACCTGTTTGCAAAGTTGTTGGCAAAGAAACCAACTAAGTAAACTCATTTTCTTGTGTTTCGCATCACACGATATTTTTGGTATGAATGGATGCTATGAGCAAGAGCGACAGCTTGGGATAAGGGCACCACCCGGTAGTAAGTTAAGGCATTGACAAAGTTGCACTTCTCCTTCCAGAAATGCGCCGAATGGGACGGGCGCTTAGAAACGATGCGTTGAAGGAACCAATAGCAGATGCCTCAGTTATGATGCTATTACTGCACTTTACCAAGAACGCTGCGAGAGGACAGTGGTAGATATGAAAAGTGTATTTTTTAAAGCGTACAAAAAATGTGACCGCGGCACAGTAGATACCATCGGTTGTCATGAACCCAGGTCAAGGGTTCAACTCCCATCGACGGAATTTTTTTTTCATTGTCTTTTGATCGCGCATATTTTTTCGACATCATTTCCGTGACGGAAATAGATCACTGAAGTCTCGGTGTACCCTCGCATTAAACACCTTTGCGTTAAAACATGCTGGTCATAAGAATATATACCTTACTGTGACATGGTAAAGGTGTCGAAGAGCAAACAGCGAAAAGAAAAACATTAACAGTGCCGAAGCACTGAATGTCGTGGCATAGATGCATATCAGAAAGCATTGTCAAATGCACAATGTGGTTGTTTGAATCTTGCCATAACGAATTCATCGTTTGGAGCAAGAACAAAATTTTTGTAAGTGCATGGTGATGAAAAATGAACAAGTAGACTATGGAACCTCTCATGGAATGTCAGCACTGGCCGACTCACAGAGAGTAGTTGAGAAAAAGACACAACGGGATCAACGTCAACTGCTTGAATTTTTCACGGGCAACTCAAATTAAAAGACTGGAGTTGAACATTCAGAGGCAACATTACATGCCAAAAAGATTGGCAATGCTACACAAAAAATGACCACTGATCCTATTGATCTAATATGGTTTAATTATTTTCTTTAATGTCCCTTGTAACTATAGCAAATCACTTTACTGCTTTATTTGACCGCATGGTTTATTTCATTTACAAAGTTGCCTTTGATCAAATAATCGAGTTTCATGATTACCATCTTCTCTATTAACACTTGTTGCTTTGCCCGACAATATTTTTTTAGAGTTCTTAAAACGAAACACTCTTGTGTACAGTACCGCTAAGTTATGCAGTGCAAAACAAGACAGTAGGGCATTAAAAAAATTCCTTATATTTTTGTACTACAATGTAAAACCAGCCCGTGCACAACTGCACAAACAAGCTCACCGACTGCTCGAGGTCCTCCGGGGGTGGCCTGGTTATCTCTGGGGGCATGGCAGTGACCTCGATGGGCTTCAACTCGCCCGTGCGTTGCCCCTGGGGAATGGTGATGAGGCAGCGGCTGGTGCGGATGGTGATCAGGCGACTTGACAGCACCCGCAGGTGGCGCACCGAGCCTTCCTCCGTCGGCACCTTGCACGCCAGCTGTGATAAATTGATGGTTGTCATCATTAAAGTCCAAAACATCGCAAAAAAAATAGGAACAAGCAATGGTGCTGTCTCTGTCAACATTTCTCTTCGTACAGAGCCAACAATGACACGGATTTCTGCTTAATTCTGAAATCAATTAGATCAGTTGCATACACGTTCGAATTAAGTGTGTTCGAAATAATGATATTCGACTGTATCACATATTTTAAAGAAATGGGCATATTTGTCATGACATAACTAACCTGCACAGTATTTTTAAAAATTAGGTACGAGGCCTGTACAAATGCTATTTTTTTTTTTGCATCAAGCGAAGTGGAAACAACTTCGAATAGTTGTAGCAGGATATGACTTTCGGTAAAATGCTAACGATAGCCTGTAAGATATGTAACATTTTAAATGTTGCTATACTAGGAGTATATAAGTTGGTATAACAAGATTTTAAGCCTCAAAAATGTATCAGTGTGAGGCTAATATCCTTATTAAACCTTAAAGTAGAGCTTCGAGGCAGTGCAAATTTTCAGGGCTTAGCACCCCTTCACAGCAGCGAAACCACTTTTACAAAACGATTACATGCAAACTATGCACTTGAATAGCTACTTTCACGGCTACGAACCTCTGTACCACAGTGAAACCACTTTTCCAACATGTCACATGCAGATTAATATGCACCTATACGTTTGTTTCAAATATTTCGAAATTTTCAATCATTTAAATTCAATTCGAACCAAATTCAAATATGGCATTACTCGTTGAAATATTTGAAACAATCGAATATTCACACAAGCCTAGAAATCGGTTTTTTTAGCCCTAGATTCTCAGCATCCACAATTGGCCTTTACTTCAAGAACATCAGGTCACACTGTTCAAGCTTCCCTAGTGCATTCCCACTCTTCGTCTTTTCTTTCTTTGATGCACAAAGCTTAAGTTCTACGCATTGGTACTCAGACAAAACTTTCACACTTTTAAAACAATCACAATTAGTTGTAAATTATGGTTTGAGAGAGAGTGTCTGTCATGAGCCTTCTGAACCAGTCTTCCATTACCTGAAAATTTGTCTTCTATCTATGTTATGCACAAAGCCCATATATAAAACAAGAATCTTTTTATTTGTAAAGGTCACATAAATGCAATACTAGAGAATGGAACACCAGTAAGGTAGAGCAACTCTAGACAGTGTGATGACTGAAAGTGGCATCGTGGTTCCAGCTCACTGAGAGCTAGGGTAAGAGGAAGACATAGGCAGAAAACAGCCGGCCCAGAGAACGGATGTTGTTTCTTTTCTCACTCATTACAACACCAAGAGTGCTGAGCAGGCCTTAACGTGAATGCGCAAGATGAAACTGAGAGCAAACTGTCGACACCGTGAAAATGAGCCAAGCATGTCAACGTGCTCACTTTCACAAGTAATGTCCAGGAGGAATAAAAAACAGTTCTGTAGAAAATTTAGCCCAAGTTGGCCAAGTGCACTTGGTGTAACTGCTTGACGAAGCATGTGCCTGTGGAGCAGTCATTAGGACATCGTCAATTTGAATTGAATTGAATTTAAAGTTCATTTGCCCTGAAAAAAACTTACAGATGCAGGAGCCAAGACTAAAGGCTATACAGCCTGACAAAGGGCCTCTGCTCCTAAACACAGTTTGGCATGCAGGCCACAGAGCATCTTTATATGTAAAAGATATTTTGCATATGTTATTGCACAAGAATACAACAAACATTGGCATATTCTTATTACACAGTGTGAATCCAACAAAAAATAATTCATCACAAAGCAACATTGCAACAGAACTTCATTGTTACATAACGTGAAAATACAAAATGAGATCCTCATAGCATATTGCAAATTTATAAACAAGATATCATAAATCAAACAAACTTTAGATAGCGTACTCATGATGCATAGTATGGTTTTGATGATGGTGTTTGAAGGGATAGAATTGTAATCTAGAAGATCTTGCAGATCATTTAACATTGTAGGTATCTGGTATTGAACGTGTTGTTTGCCATAATTTGTCTTAAGTGTGGTGATTTTTCCGTATTTCTGATGTATGTGGTAATTAGTACTTCCAGGTGTGTTCTGAAGACATTATTAGAACCACGAGACATTATTAAAACCATTAATAGATTAGAACCATGAGCACTAAAGGCTCATGGTTTTAATCCTGCCATAAGAAGACTGCACTAAGTAATTTATTCACAAACACCACTTCACCACCACCATGTTTCTGTCCAGCCCATATTCATAGCTATGCATGCACCATTGCTTTCTGATCGGCTCAATGAATCACTTTACTAATGCATTAATGATAAACACCATTTGCAAAGCTGCAACGCACCTGTCCACCGTCGTTCTGTCCCCAGGCCCACAGCTTTCCCTGGGCATCCAGGGCGAGGCTGAAGTCTCGGCCACACGACACCTGTGTCACCTTGCTGCACTGGGCCAGATGCGACACCAGCTGAGGGCTTTTCTGCGCACATTATGCACACATTGTCAGCATGAACTGGAACACACACGAGGAAAAAACGAGGGAAAAAATTCTAGTTACTTCCACAACGTGAAAAACTAAACAGCAGATGTGTTGCATCACAACGTTTTGCTGTTCAGTCAGTAGTCTTCATTCTCAGTTGTTCCTTAGTCCTTCAGGTTATGTGGTCTCGCACAATGATATGCTCATTCACAGCCACACCAGTGTTCGAGTGCAGATGTGGCCTATTTCACGCAGTTAAAATGTTTACTACTGTCACAGCTGCACAGGAACCCAAGCAGTTTCATCATCATCATTTAGCACCACCATTTCAGGCACTGTCATTATCATTTTATCTTTTTATTACTTTATGCTCTTCCCCTCTGATCATCTGACCTGCTTCACTAGGTGAAACCCTGTTAACACGTACCTGTCGGGGACAGCAGCATAACTACCATCACTACCATCAGCAGATGACAGTGGAACCCGGATTATACGACTTTCAGGGAGCCACAAAAAACAGTCACATAATCTGAATGTCGTATAATCGAGAAACTAAGGATACAGTCAGTGACACTCACCTTTGTGCAAAAAAACGATTACAGACCACCTGGAATAGAGGCTTTTATTAAATCCATGAATGCCTCTAAAGCCACAGGGCCTGATGTCACCTGCATTGCATTCTTTGTGCCCACGCAAAGTATCTAAATATCTGTGCATCATTTTCACTAGGTCCTTAGAAGAATTTTTATTACCCAATGACTGGAAACTTGCCAACGTAGTGTCCGTTCACAAGAATGGACCGCGAAGTAGTGTTTTAAATTATAGGCCAATTTCACTCACAAGTGTAGCATGCAAAATACTTGAACATGTTCTGTCTACCAATAAAGTTAAACCTGGATATAACGAAATTGATAAATTCCTGGAAAACTTTGTAACAAAGAGGATTTCGTTATATGCAGGTTCGATACAAAAATTGTGAAAATGCCCAAATTAAACAAAAGGGGGACTGAAGGCAGGGTTAACACAAAACACTCATTTTACAGTAAAAAACTGCGTTATTATTGCTGTGGTGTCATGCTAAGCCTGTGTGACGTCACGCTGATAGCGCCAGTGCTTCATGGCTATATAAGCGCTGTGAACCGAGCACTCAGTGCTCTTTTGTACTCCGTATTCATGTAGTAGTAAACCTTCTTACTGTTCTACGTTCACGGCCACTCTGGCTCTGCTCGTCCCTCGAGGCTACAACAGACTGGCGACGAGGGTGGGACTCAAATTCCACTGGGCTACAAGACACCATTAGCGGCGGTTCCGAAGCGCTGGGAAGATACAGGCAGGATGGCGACGTTGGGAAGGTTCGATCAGTTCATCGAGGACGGTGACGAAGATATTCAGTCCTACGTGGAGCGGTTCGACCACTTCCTGAAGGCCTGCCAGGTGAGCGACGACCTGAAGGTGTCAGTGTTCATAACGGCAATAGGAAAGAAGGCCTACAAAACTCTGAATTGTTGCTGGAGCCAGAAAAGTCAGAAAACAAGACGTACGCACAGTTAGTACAGACACTGAAAGAGCAGTACGTTCCCAAAACTTCCGTGATTGCCAAGCGTTTCAAATTCAATTGTTGTTTTCAACAAAATGGGCAAGCGGTGACAGCCTTCGCTGTAGAGCTGAAGCGGTTGGCGACATCGTGTGATTTCGGAACGTTTCTGAACAACGTGCTGCACGACAGGTTTGTGGCAGGACTTTGTGACAAAGAAACACAAGCAGAGCTGTTAAAGACAAGCAAGTTGGCTTTTAAGGAGGCCTGCGATATCGCTAGGAGTATCGAATTGGCCCGGAAAAAAAAGCCAAGATCTTCAGCCCAAGTCGGCGCAAGGAATGATCAGCACCCTTAACCCCAAAACAGATAGCGGGAAATGCCCACCACGCTGGAGAGAAGAAACTTCGGGGATGCCTGCTGGCACCAGGTGGGCGGAATCACTGCACTGTTTCCGATGCGTCTCAGAGCATGAAGCATATATCTGTAAATTTTGCAAGTACCGTTGTCGGGTGTGTAAACGGGTTTGACACTTAGCGAAGATGTGTAGCGACAGAGGTAGATACGCTGCAAACGTGATAGACGAGGAAAGTGACACGGGTGAACATGTGCTGTACAATATCTATTCCTGTGAGGGGCGCACCAGACTCTACGAAATTTGCCTGAAGCTAGATCAGAAAAGTGTGCACATGCAGATTGACACAGGGGCGTCTGTATCAATTGTACCAGAGTCACTGTGCAAGAAATACTGGCCCAACCTACCCTTAGAGCCATGCAGTCTTAAGCTAAAAACCTACGGTGGCACTCCGCTGACGGTAAAAGGGAAGCTAAATGTTTCCGTAGAGCACAATGGTCAGCACAAGCAACTTCCGCTAATTGTCGTGAAAACAAACGAGAGTACTAACACTATGCGAGACTGGCTGTCAGCACTGAAGTTAGACTGGGCTAGTGTGCATGGGGTTTGCTTGGACAAAGTGGCATTGCTGCTTGAAAAATATGCTAAGATTTTTTAGCCTACCTTGGGTCTAATTAAGAACAGGGCCATTAAGTTAGTGCTTAAAGATAACAATAGCACACTTGTTTTTTGTAAAGCGCGGTCGATACCATTTTCAGTTAAAGAAGTAGTGTCTTCGGAACTGCAGAACCTCGTGAAAACCGGAGTGCTAGTACCTGTTCAGCAGAGTGAATGGGCGACGCCACTAGTAGTGGTGCCGAAACCAAACAACCAGGTCAGGGTGTGTGGGGATTTCAAGGTGACACTAAACCCATGCCTAAGAACAGATCATTACCCCCTTCCCATGATTGAGGATCTGTTTGTAAAGCTGGCTGGTTGCAAATATTTCACGGTGTTGGATTTGTCCACTACATACCAGCAGCTAGAATTGCATCCCCAAGCACAGTCACTAGTCGTGATCAACACGCATTTGGGGTTATTCAAGTATACGCGCATACCCTATGGCATAACGAGTGCACCTTCGATTTTCCAGGCAATTATGGATGACAAATGAAAGGACTTGATTGGGTAGCGTGCTATCTAGACGCCGTGCTGATAGCAGGAGCTACCTTTGAAGAATGTTTCCATAAAGTGAAAATTGTGCTGTCCCGGTTTCTAGAAAGAGGCATTCGACTGAAAAAAGAGAAATGTAAGTTCTTTCAAACTTCCGTCCATGTATTATGGGCACGTTCTCGACGAAAAGGGCATACGCTCGTCAATGGAAAAAGTAAAAGCTATAACGGAGGCCCCTGCACCTGCAAATGAGGCACAGTTAAGAGCTTACTTAGGGTTGATAAATTATTATGCTAAGTTTGTTCCCCACGTGGCCACGAGACTCAGACCACTGTATGACGTGTTGAACCAAGAAAAAGGTTTCAAATGTTCTCGTGAGGCAGAGCAAGTGTTCCAGCAAAGTAAAACGTGGTTGACGGAAGGAAACGTTTTGACATACTACGACCCAACGAAAGAGATAGGGCTGGTGTGTGACGCATCCATGTATGGTGTGGGCGCCATTCTGTTTCATAAGATTGATAAGGTGCAAAAACCTATTGCTTATGCGCCTAGGGCACTGAGCAAAGCAGAGAAAGGTTATGCTCACATTGAGAAAGAGGCTCTCGTCGTGGTCTTTGGGCTGAAGAAGTTCCACAAATACCTATTTGGGCAAAGTTTTGTCATTCATTCGGACCACCAGCCATTAGCCAGCCTTCTGGGGCATGGCAGACCAGTTCCAGTAATGTCTGCAGCGCGCATGCAACGATGGACTTTGCTACTGGTGGCATACAATTACAGATGGGAGTACCGAAAATCCAGTAACATGGGAAACGCTGACGCGCTTTCGCAATCGCTGTTGGCGAATGAGCAAGACGTCTCAGATTACAGTACAATTTTTCTCTGTTGTCAATGAACTTCCACTGTCTGCTGACATAATCAGCAAGAAAACGAGTACTGATACAGTGCTATCGAAAGTGTTGTGGTACACGAAAAACAGCTGGCCTGCGCATGTCACTGATAGTGAATTCGAACCGTACTTTGTTCGCCGGTATGAACTACCGGTGGATCAGCAGTGCTTTACGTGAGGAAATCGGGTAATTGTTCCACACTGTTTGCGTAAACAAGTATTGGCACTTTGTCATGAAGGTCACCTCGGAGTTACGCGTATGAAAATGCTCGCGCGCAGCTATGTCTGGTGGCCTCAGTTAACCCAAGATATTGAAAATGTTGTTAAAAGTAGCTGTACTTGTCAGTTGACGCAGAACGCTTCACGTAAGGCCACACTACAAACTTGGGGTTGGCCGAGCCGCAGATGGCAACGACTCCACCTGGATTTCGCATTCGCAGACAAGTGGCTACTCCTGCTGGTGGATGCACACTCGAAGTGCGTGGAGGTGTTTGTGATGAATTCAACAACGACCGAGAAGACCGTCGAGAGGCTGCGTGGGGTGTTCGCATCGTACGGCCTTCCAGAGGAGGTTGTTACGAACAATGGGCCTCAGTTCACGGCAAAGAGTTTCACAGAGTTCCAGCTTAAGAACGGAGTGCGGCACACCAGAACACCTCCATACCACCCGGCGTCCACTGGAAGCGCCAAGAGATGAGACTGTGAAACGGAATCTTACGCGACAGCTTCTCGACGAAAGGTCATCGAGCCAGAGTAAGACCCTACAGCACCACATAGATCTCTTTCTGTTCAGGTACCGGAACACACCGACCACAACCACGGGGCAGACACCGGCAGAACTGTTTTTGTCGTGGTCGCCCCGCACTCGCCTGACTATGCTACAGCCAGACCTGGAGAGACGGATGGAAGAACGGTTCTCCAAAGTAAAGGCCCAAGTTGACGAAAGAAGAGGGTCGGAAAGAGCTTACAAAGAGGGGGAAAGCTTTCTGGTTCAAGGCCTTCGTCCAGGTAATCCCAAGTGGCTGATAGGTGTCATAGAAAGAAGGTGCAGTGCCGTTACGTACCTTGTGCGC